GGAAGCGGCTGCCCGCGGGAGCCGTGGCTGCGCGAGCGAGCGGGCGCTGGTGGGTGCGCACGGAGGCGAGTGGTCTTGGTGGCGGGGCGCGCCAGGAGCAGGAATCCTGCTGCGATCGATGCTGTGCATCAGCCGGCTGGAAGAGGAGCGGTGCGCTCCGTGAGGGGCGCACCGCGATCCGCAGAGGTTCGCCTCCGCCGTAGCCACGTCGGATCGCGGGAAGAGCCGTCTTGGCTTTCAGATCCTCCCCGGCTGGTTGAGGGACGGTCAGTCCTGAAAACGACTGCTTTAAGCTCGGTGTGGCAGGGTGAAACTTCAGAGCTGCCAAGGCTCATTTTAACTCTTCTGGAGTCTTCAGAGGATATAAAACAACGTCTGGATTTCCCAGTAAAGTGAAGGAGGCTCTAAGGAAACCTGCTTTACAGCAGGTCCCCTGGCAAACTGGGACATCCGCTTGAGGCTTTAAGGGAGTGAGAAGGAGTAAAATCCTTAAAGCGAATCTGATTGCATCTAAATTAGTGGATGAAAGAGTGACATAGATAACCTGTCAAAACTTTCCACAGTTGTATCCTTAGTAATTTGTATAGTGAGATGAAAAAATAATCCCTATTGCCGGGCTTGTGTGATAGCCTCTCAGTGGAATGGAGACTCATCTGTGTTCAGAGGCAACAGAAGCCTGGTATCGTTTGGCTGACTGCAAGGTGGAGGCAGACTTCTAATGCAGTAACAAGATGCTGGTTTTCTAAGGCTTTATGACATAGTTCAGAGTATAAAAGTTACAAATCATGTCCTATGTATTTTGGTTATTCAGGAGTTCAGATGTGAAACTGGTGTATTAATATGGAAGCTAAAAGTATATCTTTCCTCAAGCCTGTTAAGGACACTTGGAATTCTCCAATTTATTAACTTCCTAGCATGTGGGGTGGCTCTGTCCTAGTCACTGGGGTTCGTGGTACAAGATGTAGGAAGGAATGACTTCTTAGGCTAGCTTTTATTCTCCTGTTGTCTTCCCTTCCATTAAAAAAAAAAAAAATCCAAACAGAATAAACCCAAGCTTGCAGCTATCTACATATTCAAGAAAGTGATAATGTGTTTCGAAAACCTGCTATAAGGCTAAATGATATTACAATGTTTTGGGGATACGTTCTTGCAACTGCTAAGCAGATACAGAATTACGTGGCTTTTAAAATTCAAATAATGGAAAGCCTCTCGTTTAAAATCAGCATAGTGTTTGTAGGTACGTCAGTTAAGCATATCATTATAAATACAGAGAACTGTTGAAGAGGAGTAAACATTCTTTCTCTGGAATTAAATTGAGCATTTCTGAAAACAAAAACTTGAATTAAACAAACAAACAAAAAGACTCCCCCATTTCATCAGCTCCAGTGTTGCTGGTGTTTTAGTGTCATAGTTTCTCAACGAACAGTACAAATCCATTTCTGTAGAGGGAGTTGAAATAATTCTAAATACTGGAGTTGTTGGTGTGATGACTCAAGTAGTATCTTGGCACATTGAGGTTAAGAAGATGAAACTTGCTGGCAAAGATTTTGAAGACTCTTTAGATAGTACACATTGGGGTGTTGCAATATAGAGTTCCTTTGTAGACCATCTTCTAACAAGGTGGACAAAAACAGAAATGTAGGTAAGTGTTACTGGTAAGCTCCCCGCTCTTTAAATGTGAGCGAACACTTCCAAGCCAGGGCCTGCACCAACTTTGTGGGTCTGTGTTAAGCATCAGGCATTTGCTAGTGTTCAGAGCAGAGGCCTTGATTCAGTAGCTGTTTTGTATTAACATCTAAATGCAGTTGCCCATGGATTTCGGAGCGTTTCTAGACCAAGGTGTACTTGACTGTTAACATTGCAGTTGTAAAAATAGTCTTCTGATACTCTACTAAAATCTTAAAATTGAGTGCTCCAGAAGCAAGTTGCAAAATGGTCAATAATCCATGTACCTTGCCACACGAGGGTCTGTGTACTATATTCAGCGTTTAATGGGTACCACTATCCTGCATAAGCTTGTACAGTGAGCTTGTAGTACCTGGCTGGTGGAGAGTTTACCTATTCCAATGGTCAGAACACAGAAGACTTGAGATGGGGGAGAGGAATTGGCTTGCAAACCAGCAGTGGTTTTCTTAGTCTCATTTGTTACAGTGAAGAATTCACTGTTCTGCCAGTGTAGTTCAGTCTGCTTGGTGCATTGAATACCATAAGGCAACCCAGGTAGTTAGGCGCTGTGTATGTGGGGGATACCAAGCTGTGGGTGACAGGTCTCTGGGCCAGTGCTGCTGTTAAATATTTATTTTGAGAAATTTGAAATTGGAGAATTGTCTAGAGGGTACAGTAGTTCAGGAGATGCTCTTCTTAGTGCTGTATCCCATATGTCTCTGGGTGTCTCTCACCTCATGGGAGAAGGTAAATGAATCGGGCCCTGGGAATTGTATACGCCAGGCACATAGGATGCCCACTCCTGCTTCTCTGCCTGCCGGTCTGTCTCTCCTCTCCTAGTTCCTCATCCCTGTTGCATAAAGACAAGTTCTTATCAATAGTCAGTGTTGAGTGATACAACCATTTATTTGTGCAGGCTCTTCTGTTGGGCTGACCACACAGAATACAGTGTTCTTTAATAGGAGAACATGGATTTTTCTGTAAATAAGATGACCTCAGTATGTTCTGTCCTAGTTCATAACACGTCTCTCTTGTATTCCCAGTATTGAGAAATACAGCATTTGTCAGTATTGCACAATCAGTCTTCCTTGAGCAGAGGTGTTTGATTACATTAAAAAGCCCCAAGAAATAGATCTTAAGTAAACATACTCAGGATGTATATTGGTAGCCTAGATTATTGTATACATCGACCAGGTAAATTCCATGTTAAAGCTGCAAACCATCACCATATTTTAGTGGTCATTGGTACTGCTTTTACTTTTAGGTGGGGGCAGGGGGGTTAGAGGTTGGTATTTGTGAACTGTGATGCAGTCATTACTTAGGCTGAAATGAATGCACTTCTTGCCAGACATGGTACGGAAGCTTCACAGCCATGAATTCTGGTAGGGGTGAGAAGTTGGTGTCCTGTTAAACTTAATCTCTTGCATTAAGTCCTGGTTTATTACTGGGTAGTCTCTCCATAACTAATTTCCTTTATGGCCTTCTGTGCTGTGGACAAGTATCCAAATTTGTCTTACTGGCTTTTCCTTTCACTCTTGCTGAATGATAAGGAATTACAAGGTAAAAACTTCTGTAAGATGTGCTTGTCTCTGTCATGTCACGTTAATCAAGGTGTCTTTATAAAGACTTCAGCTTTTCTTCACTTTTGTTGGACTATATTTAGTATGTTATCTTCATAAAGGTGGTTATGATATGTGTCAGTTTGAGATAGCAGAATACTAGGGTTCTTAAGTTGGCTGGATAACATTGTGGAAGAAGAGTATTTTAGGATGTACTTATTAGCATTGTAGTTGCATAGAAATAAGTATTTAATATTTGGCAGTCAGGAATATGTCTGTTGCTGGTTGATCCACTCCCAGCTCTTACCCTTTTTGAAGCATGGGGAGTTAGTCAAATGCATTTCTTTAAAGCACTAGGAATGCAGGGTCCCATTTTGAGGAGAGGATACTATAGTTGTAGGGGAATTGAAAAATCATGCTAATTCTAAACTGCAGGATGTAATAGTTTTTACAAAGCCCATTTGAAGCTTTAAAATCTAAAAATATGTGAAAGCCTATACTGCTTGAACATACAGGATAGACAAATCTTGCTGTGGAAAATGGTTTTGGTTTGCTGCCTGTTGACTTGCTTTTTTAGGTGTTTCCAAACCACGGTCTTGTCCTTAAACTTTTCACTTTCCTTTCTCTAGCTGGGTAACAAGACATGGACATTATAGAGCTGTTAGGAGCCAGAAGCATTGTTGACTGTTGAATTTGACCTGACTCAGGTTCTTTAACCTGTCTTTTTCCCTCCCACAAGGCTTAGTGATACCTTTCCCAAAACTTCGTCTTAGCAACAGTTCCATCAGCTGTGCTACTCTGACACAGAAATATTGCAGATAATAGAGCAGAAGGTACCGCTTCTTGGCAGTAGTTCAGTGTTACTGCAGTTCCTGGCCATCTTACTGTCTCAGGGGTAAAATGAGATGCTTATTGTGTGAAAGCAATGGCAGCAAAGTAGTTTATGCTGTCTTCCGTAGCAGTGTGGAGAGTGTAACAAAACTAGATCAACATCACTTACTATAGATAACACCCACAAAACTTGATTATCTGAAAAAAAATTAGTAAGGTATAAATACCTAGACAGGTGGACTGTATGTAAATCAGCCTGAAATTGTTAATGAACTACTTTGTCAGGCAACAATGTGTGGAGACCTCTACCATGCTTAAATTGTCTTCTGTCACAGTAGTTTTATGACCATGAAATAAGCATGAGAAATCTAAATCAGCTCTTCCAGCCTGGCAACACATAAGTGAGTGTCCTGAACACCATGGGGGATGATTTCCGTGCTGATCTAGTGAAGGTATTTGTGATGCCTTAAGGTTGCGATTGATCTGTTTATTTCCATGCATTATAAACATTATATAGACCAGCTCTTTGGGTGAAATCCTAGTTCTGCTGAAAACAAACATTTAAGTCCTTCACATTCATCATGTTGATGATATTTTTATTCTCAGTGTCTCAAGCAAACATCAGATAAATGCTTTGTGTGTGTGTGTTCTTGTGATTTCTCTCTCCCAGTGCTTGCCCTACCACAATTCCTGTTAATCTTTGCAGGACTTGTAACCAGATGTCGAGCCAATACTTGAGGAAATATGCAGTCTTGAAGCATAGAGATTGCAATAGCTTGAAATACTGTAATAGGCCAGCACTTCTAATTGGGGGAGGCAATGACACCTAACTGGCATTAGAGTGTTTCTGCCTGCTAGTTAGTAAAAGTAATAAGTAGAATTCAGATACTGCTTTCATGGGAATTTTGTTGGAAAACATTTATTCTTTATGATTGCCTCTTAAGACTGTAATTTGATTTAAAGCTCTTAGCTGATCACTCTTTAAATCATAGCTTTCCAAGTCTATGTCTACGCGTTAGAGTACTACCAAGAGAAGAGCATTACCTTGTGAAGTAACACTGATTTACTAGTAGTTTCTCATTGTATAGGTGCCTGGGACATCATTTTAGCTGAGCCTATGGTTTTGCAGTGTATTCCAGATCAGTTACCATCTAAACAATGCAAACACTTTATACAGATTAGAAACTTAGTTCTTCTACTCTTTTAAATATCTTTAATTTTGAAGCTGTTGAGGCCTAAATTAAGTACCAAGAGCTGATGCCTCTTCTAGTCCAGAAGTTATAGTCTAAGAGGTGCTTAGCAAGGGAGCAGGTGTGGTGTAGAGATACCCAG